TTTCCCTCGTGAAGAATTTGCCAGGAAGCTGATGCCCAACGATCTTTGTCTCATCAAAGCAGGCTATGAGTCCTGTGTCCTGTCTGGCTTACCCATTTTCACCCACACCCTTTTTAGTCCATCCTCCTCTTTCGGTAAAGATTTCTTTTATCTTTAAAGTTAATTATGCAAGTGACACATGAATATATTCTGCGTCCAAATATGTCAGACAAAACAAAACAAAACAAAAAGTTAAAGTCATGGGAGACATCCCCCAACTCCACACTTCCTGTTTTCTGCATGGTGTGACCCTTCTAGACTTTGTGCTATGGTGCAAATACAGAATTGAGTGCATATGGAACTATTGGAATATGTTCCTATTGTATATTGTCGTATGTGATTTCACAATCTGCTCTTCCCATCTGACAATGTGTCTTTCCATGTTGGTACATGTAGGATCATTTCATTTTTTAAACAGCTGTAGAGCATTCCACAGTCAAAATGTGAAAACATCCCTGCTCTGATGGACCTTTAGGTGGTTTTCAATTTTTGCTATTCTAAACAGCCCCAGCGGACCCTGGCTCTCGCCTCTGTGGGCACAAATATGAGCATACTTGCAGGGTCAGGCCTGGGAAGGGAATTGCTAGTCCTGAAGGAAGGGAGAGATTTCTGTGCCACCAGCCCTACCCCAGAAAGGGTGCTTCCTTCTCCAACCGTCAGGTTCAGAACCTGGTGCTTGCCTTGTCTTCCATACTCTTACATGGGTATGCAACTGCTTCCTGAGAGAATCCCATTTCCCAACTAGACTGTGAGTTCCCAAAGGGCCTCACCAGGTATGTCTCTGGGGAACACCTCAGCACATCAATGGGAGAGTGAGCTTGACAGGCTTAGTGACTGCTGAGCTGTGGTCCCTTGCACCACCCTCACAGCTCAGAGTCCCCTCCTTAGCTCCTATGGGGATCAGCAGTGAGTGGCAGGAAGTCAAAGTTAGTTTTTCTGGGTGGGGCTTCTGGGTGCACCATGGGTCCTTACATGAGAGGCCAGTTGGTGTCCAGTGGGTGAAGCTTGGGCACCCTCTCTCCCCTAGTTTTTCTGGGTGGGGCTTCTGGGTGCACCACCCAGTGTCCTTACATGAGAGGCCAGTTAGTGTCCAGTGGGTGAAGCTTGGGCACCCTCTCTCCCTTGGACACCCTGAGCCTTCACCTCAGCCTCTGCCCCAGGCCTACCATGCTCTGGAACATTCTGTAATGGCAAACTCTACTCCTGAAGCCACCCTCTTCCCACCAAGCCACTGTTCCCCCAGGGCTCTGCCCTCAGCAAGGGAGAAGATGTGGTCCTTTCATGTACATTGGCATCAGCAGTTAATAACTGCTTATCCATATCTACCTTTTGAAAGAGCCCTTGCGAGACAACTTATCTTTCAGGTAGCCAGTCAGACACAGCATCAGACTAGCGGAAAAGATGGTTTGAGAAGGCCCAGGTGGGTTTATCCCAGGCAGCCGCTGTGTAAGGCTGGTCTCTCCTGGCAGAGGGGGAGAAGCAGGGACTCTACCTTGCTGACCTCCCTCTTCACAAGGGTTGTTTGTGTTTACACTGCACTCTGCAATTAGAGAGCTCTGCAGAGGTTGTTAATACTCATTGGCTAGTACATCTACCTATAAGCCACTGAAGGGAATAACAGTCCCCATTTATAGATGGGGAAACTGGTGTACAAAGAGAGAAATCAATAAATGACCCCTGGCTGGTAAGGATCCACCTGGACACAACTTTCTATCTGGAACTGCACATCGGCCTGTTCGGGGAGTGATCACTTTGGGGTGAGAGCAGGGGAGTGACAGTAACTGCCCTGGCAGGCACTGGGAGAATGGGCTGGAGGAAGTCTTGGGGACAGTGTCCTCCCAGCCAGGGCCACCTATCAACTCTCACAGGCAACCTCTGTCCCCCACCACTATGAAAGTCCTGTGTTCCTGTGTCCTCGGGCCTTGGTCAGCTCCCAGCAACCTCCCAGCACCATTTCCACGTTCTCCCCACCTATCGGTCCCCTCCAAAATATCCGACGTGTTCGGCATTCAATACTCTCAATAAATATGTATTGAGCTTCTGCCCCTGTTCTGGGCACTGAGAACCAACCAAGAACGGAGCCTCATCTGGGCATGGAGAGAATGCCAATCAAGGAACAAATATACAAATATCGTGTCAGGAGTAAGGGATGCCAAAGAGGAGAATAAACAGGACGAGGGGTCAGAGAGTGTGTATGTGCTGAGGAAGGGGTTACCATGTTAAATGAGGCGGTCAAGACAGGTATCTCTGAGGGGGTCACATTTGAACAGAAACCTGAGGAGCAAGCCATGCAGATACCGGGATTGAGGTCATTCTGGGAAGAGGGCACAACCAGTGCAAAGGTCTTGAGACAGAGTGTACCTGGCAGGGCTGAGAACTAGGAAGGAGGCCAGGGGGTGAGCAAAGGGAAGCATGGAATGAGGTGAAGTCAAGGGGTAGAGATGTCAAAGGAGGTTACACATGGTCTGGGGGGTCCCTTAAAGAATTTGGTTCAAAGTGCAGCTGTTAAGCTCTCTCTCAAAAAAAAAAAAAAAGTAGTGGCATAAATTCCTGGAAGCTGGACAAAAGCAACAAATTAAAAAATATATATATATTTTCCTTGTTATCCTGCGCCATGGAAACAATATGGTCATTTTTCTCCCCCACCTCCTGCCCCCCTCCTTCTCTCCCTCCTCTTTTCTCCTCCTCCTCTTTCTCTTCCTCCTCTCCTCCCTCCTCCTCCGTCTCCAAACCTGCCCCTGACCTTGTCCCGAGCTGGCTTGCCTGCGTGTAGCTAGACAGTAGCTGCCTCCCAGTTGCAGGAAGGCACAGGCGGAGGACAAGGCCAGCGAGGGGACAGGAGGAAAGAGGCCCCCAGAGAGGCAGGCAGCAGCACGAGGGACAACGTCACAGGGGCTGCTGACCGCTATTCATTTCAATCCCCTATGTGTCTCCATCAATAACCGCCTGCCATGACCAGGAGGGAGGAGCAAGGAGGAAGGAAAAGGAGGGGCAACCTGGGGTCTGGATGGGGAAGAATGAGATGGAGTGGGAGAGAGGCTTTTTGGCACTGACAGCTCTCTCCAGCCCGGGAGCAGGAGTCGGAGGTAGGGAAGACAGAGGGCCAATGGGGTGCCAAGAGTTTCTGTCTCCCAGCTTTCTCTCCCTGCTTCCCTCCTCCTGTTTCTGGGGCCCCCTCACACATAGATTCCCTTCCAAAATCTTCTCTAAAGCAAGGAGGGGAAAGGAAGCAGGACTAATTTCTACACTGCAAGAGGAGGAAAGGGGTTTCACTGGGTGGAGGAGGAGTCGGGAACTGCAGAGGACACTAGGAGCACTCTGTGCCTGGGAAAATAAGAGGCCAGAGCAAACCTGGTGGGAAGGGCTGACATTGGCACCAGACTGGAACCACCAGCCTATAAACCTTGTGTAAAGAGGGCATGAGCCATGAGGCTTGACACAGAACTTGACACACAGTGGGCACTCAGGAAACAGCTAATAAATGGCCATAAGAATGACCAAACGGTCAGCTGTGAACAGTCAAGAAAGAGAGTTGTGGTGGACTAGACCAGTCAAGGAGGGCTGCCTGGAGTAGGCGAACCTTGATCAGAGTCTTGGAAGATGGATGGGACTGGGAGAAGTGAAAATGGAGAAAGAGCTGTGCCAAGTGAGAAGACTATGAGAACAAAAGAAAGGGGGGCGGGGGGTGGTGAATACAAGTGGTTGGGAGGTCAGACAACAGGAGAGTGGAACAAGGGAGGGAATGAAAATAATGAAGCAAGGAAGTGGCCAGCCAGCAGGCCACCTTCTCTGGGGCCCTGGGTGGCTCTGGAAAGTCTGAAGCCGCTATTCCCCCACAGAACTCAAGCCTGCTATTGGCCAAAGTTGGCTTTTTGACTTTCCTTGTGGTCTCTGGCCTTGCAGGCCTCCCGAGTCACACTCAGCCACATCCTTAGGCAGAGGATGAGGCCCCTGACACTGGCAGTTTGAGGAAACTTCCAGAAAGACTCTTCCATCGGCAAACATTCTCTTTGCTTTGTCACTGTGCTTGAAAGGCCCGCATTAAAAAGTCACCCCTTGAGTTAAGCACAGTGTTGTGTAAAAATCTAGATTCCCTGGTGTTGCACTGTCAGAATCACTCCAGGGGAAACCCAGACTGAACCTTGGAGCCCACTCTGGGTCAGCTCTCTCAGTTCACCCACATGAGGAGACTGAGGCAGGACAGGAGACGTGGTCACCCAGGGAATTAGAAGCACATCAAGAGTTGGCCTCAGATCCAGCCTTGCACATTGGTGCAGTGGATATGCCCGAGAAGCTCTCTGATTAGGAGGGATGTGAAGATATCACTGCAGATGTGACAATGGCCTGGGGCAGGGACACTTGAGCAGCCCCATTCATTTTATCGGGACAGCCTGGCCTGGGGTCCTCCTTACAGATGGAGCCTTTATTTGGAAGGCCGAGAGCTCCCTCCATCATCCCTGATGAAGCAGCAGGCAACAGTGCTCCTAAGGGCTTGAAATAAGAGTTCATGGTCAAGTGCAACTAGAGGTGCTGTGGGTGAGGGGTGGAAGCTGACCCTTATGGGAGAGAGATATTGGAGTCAGAGCTTAAACAGGCAAACAGCACCCAGAGGAGGGAAGAAAGGGAGGGAGGGAGAAAGGTTGGAAGAGAAAGAGCAGAGGCACCTGAGGCACCAGGGCACGGGGACAGGAAGAGACCCGCGGGGAGAGGGGGCGTGGAGGGGGGAAGATGCAGCGTGGGGAAACTTCGCTGAGGGTGCAAAACAGAACAGCAACGCGAGGAACGAGAAGCAGACAGGAAAACGGAGAAGCAGGAAGGCTCGAGCTGGGTGTTCAGGAGAGAGAGAGGTGGGGAGAGGGACCAAGAGGAGGAAGGGGCTGGAGACTGGAGGGCGACTGGAGGGCGCGTCAATGGGCCGGGGGCGCCCCACTGACCCTCTTGGCGCTTGCTTCCCTCCCTAGGCTGCGCTTTCCTCACCTACTGTGAGCGTGAGTCAGCGCTGAAGGCCCAGAGCGCGCTGCACGAGCAGAAGACCCTGCCCGGGGTAAGTGGCGCCCGCCGAGGCGCGAGCGACGGGCGCGCCGACAGGGGGCGACTTCTGGAGGCCGGGCTGCGAAGCGGCGGGCATGGGGATCGCGGGCCGGGGCGCGCGCCGCCTGCCTTCGCTCGGGAGCTCTCACCCCTAGAAGCCGCGAGGCGCCGGGCAGCGGCGGGGGTTCGTAGGCGCCGAGCTCAGACCTCGCCAGGTGGCCTCCGCACTCCGCGGTTCCGGCCCAATGGAATCCCAGGCGAGGGGTGAACTTGGCCTGGCCACAAAGCTCGGGCGGGGCTCCTCCCCTGCGGATCTGGTCTCTCCTCCGCGCACTGCCGGTGCGGGCAGCCCCGGGTGAGAACGCGGGGGTGCCTGGCCCCCGGAGCCCGGAGTTGCCTCCCCAGGCCCCGCGGGGCCCCCCGTGGTGGGGCTGCCGAAGCGCCAGCCGATCATTGTCGTCGGACACCGGCTGTTTCTGGGGTGGGGGCCAGGGCGGGAGGGGGCGCCTCCCCATCCAGGCTCGGCGCCGCGAGTGAGATCACCACAGTTTATTTAAGGAGCCAGCCCTCGTCTTTGATAAACTATCGCGCCTCAGCCCTGGTTTATAGCTTCTGTGCGGGGGAGAAGAGAATTATTTATGGCCCCCCTAACTGGGTGTGATATCAGCCATGGCTATTATCGAGGCTAGTTCATCACCATAAAATAAGAAGTGTTCCTCGGGTCAAGGGTCTGTGCTGTATCTCCCATGGGTTCAGAGAGATGGGGGGAGGGGGGCTGAGATATACAGCTCGCGGAGTATCTAAAGATAAATAGAAAGATGTGAGTGTTTGTGGGCATAATTTTAAAAATGTATAAATATACCGTGTTTAAACTGTATTATGCAATGGCCACTGCAGGGAAGCACGTGTGTTCTATATGTATGCTCACCGATGTTTACACATGCATGTTTACATTCTTACAAAGCAAAACGTATGTAAACACACGCTTCCATTTCTGTCCCACAGCAAGAAAGGTTAGCCAGGTAGACAGAGAGAAATGCACCCCCTCCCCCGGCGGTGGCAGTCTTTTCTTTCCATCGCAGATCCTTCTTTACCCGTTTAGGGGTGGGGAGGGCCTTGCTTCCATTAAGACAGCCTTTGTATTGTATTTTGGTGTTTGTGATTGCAAAGCACGGGGCTGAGTCACCTTAATAACATTCCCGCAGATGCAAATGTATGGAAATCGTGCACCACGCCGGTTTTTGTGTTGAACCCGGCTCTGGCACGGTGGCCATTCCCCAGTTGGTTTTTAGTGGCGGCTACATGCACATATATTATAGTAATTACTTTCTGGATGCCCTCTGTAAGATGGCAGAAATATGCTCCACATCGCCCCATGTTATGCGCGAAGCATAAAGCCATATTGTAAGATAATCAAAGGCTTCTGAGAAAGGTTTGTGCTGATTAATAAAGTGTTTATAGTACTTTGTTTTGGGGGGAGATTGTGATAGATATTTTAAAGCCACCCAAATCGAATAGAAAATAGCACATTGTTATGGGAGGCCCTTCATCAGCTTGAGAGAGATTGCTAGGGAGTTTTGTGATGGCTAAAAGCTGGGAATTAGATGGGGAAACAGAAAGGGAAGATGGGAGGGGGAGGCTTAGGATTTCGAAGGGGGAGAGGCCTGGGACTGGGGAAATTTCAGTAGCAAGTGTGGATTGTTCGGGATCTAACATTAACTTGTAGTTGTTTATTTTACATATAATAGAATAGCTAAATGATGGAGTGTATTAGTTCTTTAATAATTTATAGAAATACTTTGATGTTGCAGTAATTACATTAAAGGTCACATATCAAAGGTAATTTGGTTGAGCAGCTGTGATGGTTTCTCAGAAGCAATCAATACTACTGTCCGTGGTGCTGATTTCACCAAGGGGCCTGCCAGATTAAAGAAGGCTTATTACCAGGCAGAAAGGCCCAGGGGAAATCAGGAGCACATTGGAGCGAGGCTCCAGCCCCCCTTCCACCGATAATTAACACTGTTCCCCATAATCTGTGCTAATCCTTCATACTGGGAGATCCAGTGGCATTTTTCTGAAATCACAAAGAAGAGTTGGGCAAGTTTGAGAAAAAGGACAAAAAGAAACATGAATGTATGTTGGGAGATGGGAGGGGTGAGGAGAGAGTCCAACAATGGAACTAAAACATAGCCTAGAGTCCCCTTGAAGTGCCTGGAATACCGTCCTTTCTTCAAAGGCCTCACAGGGAGACTCATGGCCTCAAAGACCTCATCACAATTCTCAGGGCAGGCACAGCCCACAGTGGGAGGGACAAGGAGAAAAGACAGGATTGCAGCTTGAACTTCCCAAGGCACATTGTCCCTGCACAAACTCACATGGAGACAAACAAAAAATAAAATGACCAAAAAAGAAAAAATTACTCTTTAAGGTGGAGCCATTTAGATGCCAGAAAACAGGCTGGCATTATTATTGTTTGTTGGTTTTCTCTTTTGAGATCAGAGAAAGTATACCACTAGCAAATACAGGGACAGGATCAAGCAAAATGTTTTCATTCAACCAAATAATGGGTGTTTCCACCAACTGAGGCTTCGCTCATGGCTGTCTGTTTGGTTGCGGGGCAGAGAGAGACCTCTTCTGGTCCGCGGTGACCACAGTAGGTACCCTGGTGAGTGCACTCTATGCCTGACTTAGGAGAAAGAAATTGAAAAAAGAACCTGGAAAACTGGTAACCTCAGCAATTTAGGCACTTTTCCAGACTTCAAAATCCATTAAAGTCAATCCATTAAAACCAGCCCTTCGCTTTCACACTGAGGAGAGAAGGAGGGGAGAAGACAGTGCAGGCGGCCCATTCTGTTTCTTCCCCAGCAAGTCACAGAGCCTAGCATCCTGTTGGCAGCAAGGAAAACAATCCCCTTGTGGTCATGCACACACACACGCACACACACACACACACACACACACACACACACACGCACACCCACCCCACCACCACCACCCCAACCAAAACAACAACAAAGACAGAACTAGAGATACCACTCACAAGTGTCTACATTTGGGGACTGAGAGGCAAGCTGACATGTCTCTTGGGATCAGTGGAAGCTCAAAAACCAGACCACGAGTATGTTACCTCATTATCTTATTTTATCTTCACGACTACCCCATGAGGAAGATATCATGATTATACCCTGTACATGAGCAGACTCAGGTTTAGAGAGATTAAATAATTTGCCCAAGGCACACAATTAATAAATTGCCAAGCCATCACCAGCACCAGCTCTGCTACCGAAACCCAGGATACCCACCTCTCCTAAAGCAACACTGGTTGCTTGAAAGAGGACCCAGATGACTATGGGGCACAGAAGTTTCTCAAAGGTTTTGTTCAGGATATGGGCAGGGAGGGAATGAAGAGTTGGAAGGAAGATGGGTGTGTTGGATGGGAGCACTGGCATGAGAACTAGCCTAGAGACAAGACACGCATGACAGGTCAGGATCCATGAGTTCCCTGGGGCCTGAGAGTGCACAAGAGGCCTCTTAGAAGAATTCTGTTTCTTAAAATAGGTCCCTGCTGCTTAGTCCCAGCTCCCCCTGCCTTTGGGACTCTGCATGGAATTGTCTTCCAGGAAGAGCCCATCTGTTTCCCCAGTTAGGAATGTAGGGACTCAGAGGAGAGGCTCTGATTAGAGAAAACGGGGCAACATAGCCAGCAGTGGCCAGCATTCTGTTTCTCTGGCAGCAGAAAGGGCTCCTCACCAGGGCTGCCGCAGGGAAAGAACTGGGTCCAGTTAGCAGGAGACCTAGAAGCAGAGAGAAGTGGGAGCTGGCAGAGGAGAGGGGAGGAGAGGGAGCAGGCAGGGGGAGGGAGAGTGGGAGCTGTATCTGCTTGGTAAACATTAAAGTTCCAATTCACTAGTTAAAGATTGGCTTTTGTGCCCTGACTCTGGCAACCTGAGAATATAAAGCAAACGAACACACTCCTCTGGGCCGTCTCCCACCCCTACCCCTCTGTTCAGCCCTGTAGACTTGCAACATCGCTGCCATCACACCTCCTGACTCAGGTCACCGCAACTCAGGACGGGTCATTTCCATGGAAATTCAATGTGACCTTCTTTGAGTTTATCAGGAAAGATGTTAGAATGGAAAATTAAAAAAAAAATGTAAAAAAAAAAAAAAAAAAAAAAAAAAAAAAAAGCTCAATTGGGTTTCTGGCACCGCTATCTCAGGGTGTCTCTCCTTTCCCCCCTTCCTGTCACTTTCATTTTCCTAAGTCCCATTTCGTCTTCCTTTTTTTCTCTTTGTCTCTCTTTTTTCTTTATGCCTCTTTTCTCTCCCTTCTGGTCATTTTCTTCTTTCTCTTTCCCCCTCTCACTTTCCCCCCTTTCTTATTTTATCCTTTTCACTTGCCTTTCCTGCCTCTCTCCTCTCTTCCTTTCCTCCCTCCCTCCCTCCCTCTCCTCTGCCCAGCCCACTGCTACTTTGACACCCACAGAGGCTCTCGAAGGACCTCCACCAGCTTTTCTGGGGCTCCCCTGATGAGGCCCATCTCCCTCCTGACAGCCTTGCCATGGGAGGATCCATCTAATTTTATGTACAACTGTAAAGATGAATGATAAGTAGAAAGGATGCAGGCAAGAACAAGATGAATAAATTATAAAGGGCAAATGATGACAAGACAGGGGTCCCCAGAGACAGTGATATGATAACAGAAACTAAAGGCGAATTTATGATGGATGTAGTTAGCATGTACGGAGGCTGTTAATTCTTCAGGGTAGTTTTACAACTTCTGGTGATTGGCACAAAGTGTTTCATTTTAGAGATGCGGTGTATTTCCACTTGCCTGTCCTATAGGCACAGCGTTGGGTTTTGTCTCTACATGGCGAGCCTGGGTCTCATCAGCACATGCATCTTCTCTCTCAGCCCCGGCCACCTTCTGAGTCTCTGCTTCAGATGGTGACGTCACAAAACAGATTCCCACACACGTCAAGCCCCCTAGTCCTGCTGTTTTTCTTCTTGCCG